CTTACTTGACAGTCAATATATTTGGATCACTCAATAACATTTTATGCTTGGCAACAGATTAGAATCAGTTGCAGTTTTTAGCATCCTAATGCCAGGAACTAAATCGTATCTGGGGCAGGGGTGTAGGTATCAGTTTTCTAAATCTCCACAGGTAATTGCACTGAGAGTCAAGCCTGAGATTCATTGCTCAAAAGAAATCATACTTAAAGTTAGTGTTTGTGTGGGAATTACATTTTGTGTTTCACAGCAAAATCTCTCCTCACTACTCCTAAGTTAGCCATACTTTTCATAAAGTTCCCAACCATTCAGCATGTTGGCCCTGAGTACAAAATGCAAAGTGTGCAAATAATCAGTGTAAAAAATCATTGGAACAAAAGAGTTGTGAGTGGCAACTTGGTAAAAATGGATACACAAAGAAGGCTGATTTTCTCTGTATCATAAATAATTAATTCAAATACAAGGAAAATAATTCTATTTGCGAAGAAATGGAAATTTAAAAACATTAAGGAATTAATATTTAAATATTCAATATTGATAAAACTGTAGTAGCTTATGTATGTTTAAAGAAAAGTTTTGATTAAGTTAAGACATTCAGGGACTGGAGATAGTATAGTAGGTAAGGCACTTTCCTTGCATACTGCCATCCCGGAGTTCTATCCCCAACAACCCATATGGTTCCCCAAGTACCATGGGGAGTATTTCCTGAGTGCAGAGCCAGGAGTTACCTCTGAGCATCAGCCAGTGTGGCCTATAACAAACAAAAAATATTTGAGACATTCAAGGCATCCAAAATGAATACTTTGGACATATTAATTTTTACCAAATGAATCAGTATATCAGTATCAGTGTATTCCCGGTTATTTCTTCACTTTGACTAGATCATTCTAAAAGTCAGAGGAAAGAAATAATGTGTGAAATGAAAATATATTTGAAAAAAGTTATGATGGAGGACTGGGCTTTTCAAATATCACATAATTCTGTGAAGCTATAATAATCAAAAAAGTATGGTAGTTGTGATTGGATATAGATAGATGATAGATAGATAGATAGATAGATAGATAGATAGATAGATAAAGGTACATTTTAGAATCTCCTGTGTTTTTACTTGTGGATTATAATTAATTGTACAAATAACTCTAATCTTCTCTAAATTGTGTACCATTCCCACCTCTGAAAATATTAACTTTGACAGGCAAAGGGTTCTGAAAATAAACTCTATCACCTTATTTAAATAGTTTAATGGAAGCAAATTCATTCAGAGAGTAAAACCCTCCCCTTCAATCTCAATTCATGCTATACTAGGATAGAGTTATCTAAACTGACCCATTGCTTTGGAACTTTGTATGTAATATTGTTACCAGCTATTGTCATGCCATTTTTTTTCATGGAGTGTATCAGTTTCATTGCTTATATAACATTTTTTAGTTATCAATGCAAATTTTTTAAGTATAGGGATAAGGAAAATGATTGGTGGCTACAACTTTGTGTGGCTATATGGCATTGTATATGCCCAGTAACTACTTGTTAAACATGGTATTGCTAAGAATATCACTTTCCTATACTGCACTAGGTTGTGCCACTCTTGACTTTGTAATATACTTTGTAATATAACCAGATAAGGAACTCAATCACACCAGGGTAGGATAGTGTATAACTTCAGAATTGGAAAATTGTCCAAATCAGGGCTACATAAAAAACCTGAACAAAAAACTCAAGCTCAATTCAATTATTAAAAATTTCTGGGGCTGGAGCAATAGCACAGTGGGTAGGGCGTTTGCCTTGCAAGCGGCCGACCCAGGTTCGAATCCCAGCATCCCATACGATCCCCTGAGCACCGCCAGGAGTAATTCCTGAGTGCAGAGCCAGGAGTAACTCCTGAGCATCGGCAGATGTGACCCCCCAAAAAGTGAAAGTTTCCTTGCCTTAATATTTTTGATTTGGAACTTATGAATTCAGAGTTATAAAACACTAAATGAAAAAGGACTCTCAAAGTACTTCCATGATCCATTAATCCAAAATGAATTTCTCTTTATAAAATTCAGGGTGTGTGTGTGTGTGTGTGTGTGTGTGTGTGTGATCATGTGTATTTGTATGTTCTCTGATTCACTCCTCAGCAATCTACTTTTGCCATTCCTTTTACAAATTATGGCTTTTTTCTTCTTATTTTTTCTCTGTACATGGTAAACTTATAGGGCCTTTCAAGCAATACTCAGGAGGCCTGGAATCCCCATTGGTGAGTCTTAGCAAACTGGCAGTTAGTCAACACAAAGGCCAGAGAATATAATATTTCTGGGGGCCTCCAGTCTCACACCCAGAGGTACTCAATGGGGCTGTACTCATTAATGCTTAGGGAACTATTAGTGCCAGGAATCAAACTGCAAAACTGTCCCTCAGTCTCTATAGTAAACATTTTAAAAAACCACGTGTCCCATTTTGACATAAACACTAAAATAGTCTAGCACCACAGTCTGTATTTACTAAATTTCAGTCTGTATATACAGAGTAGGCAGCCAAATTAAAATATAGTTTCTTCTATTTCCATCCTATGTCCCAGAAATACAGTACTGTAATAGGAAATATGACATCTGTAGAGTGATAACTTTTTTCCCCAAAACTGCAAAGATTATCTTCTTCATTTTATAACAATAGCATGAAATAATAGCACCATACTCTCCGACAGAGTATTCTCTGCCCTCCACAATTGTCTTGGTGTATTGTTTCCCCCTCCCTCCAAAACTTCGCATTGAAGATGGGTTAGTTTTCAGTTTCTGTGGCCTTGGGGCATTTGTTGTTTCCCTACTTTGTTTCTCTATATCCCACATATGAGAGATATCATTCTGTGTCCCTTTCCTTCTAAGTTCACTTAGCATGATCTTGTATTTTTTTTTTAACCTAAATCGTTTGCCTTGCACACAGCCAACATGGCCGACCCGAGTTCGATTCCTCCGCCCCTCTCGGAGAGCCCGGCAAGCTACCGAGAGTATCTCGCCCGCACGCCAGAGCCTGGCAAGCTCCCCGTGACGTATTTGATATGCCAAACACAGTAACAACAAAGTCTCCAATGGAGACGTTACTGGGCCCGCTCGAGCAAATCGATGAACAACGGGAGGACAGTGATACAGTAACAACAAATCATATTATTTATAACTAAAAAGAAACATTAATAGGAAGAATTTAATAAGGTCTCAGTCTCTTGCATAAAGTTTGAAAGTGGCTGCCCTCCAATGAAATGATTTATAAAGTTGTCGTTATGATTATGCTTTGAAGTGAAATTCCATGGTAATATTTGGGGAGAAAGAAGAAATCTATTCTTTTGTTGTTCATTTTTTTGTGGTTGTTTAAAAATTTTTTATTTTTTGTTATTTTTTAATTTAATTTTTATTTTTTTCTTTCCAATTTTTTGGGTATTTTTAATATTTCTTATTGAATCACAGTCACATACACAGCTACAAAGTTGTTATGATTGGGTTTCAGTCATATAATGTTCCAACACCTATCCCTTCACCAGTGTACATTTTCTACCACCAATGGTCCCAGTTTCCTTCCCACTCCCCCAACCTTGCCTTTATGGCAGGAACTTCTCTGTCTGTCTGTCTGTCTGTCTGTCTGTCTCTCTTTCTCTATCTCCCCCCACTCTTCTCTCTTATGTTTCTCTCATCTCTCTCTCTCTCTCTCTCTCTCTCTCTCTCTCTCTCTCTCTCTCCTTTTGAGCTTTATGGTTTGCAATACAGATAACGAAAGGTCATCAGGTATATCCCTTTACTTACTTTCAACACTCAGTTCCTGTCCAAATATCCAAAGTGATCATTTCCAGATATTATTGTCATGTTGGCCCTTTGTCTATTTTAACTTCCCTGTGCCCCACACACTCTCTTGCAGCAAGTTTTCATCCATTGACCAATCCTACTGGCCCCTATTTACCCTGCCCTAGGAATCTGTTTTTAAAAGTCACTTTTTATAGAGATATTTAGGAATTATACATTCTGCTCTTCAGAAAACTAAGTCATGTTAAATTACAAATGTATGGAACTGTTCAATGCCAATTTGTATTGAATTGTAACTCAAATATTTTTATAAATCTCAAAGATGAAAATATCAAAGCCCAATTCTTAGTTTGTGAATTAGAACTATAATTCCTGAATCAAAACTTTACCAGAACAAATAAGAACTTTTATTATCATAAAAGCACCCTTTTTTTGAATATTTTAGGACAGAAAATTTTTCATAATAATGGATCTAAAAATCTCATTTTATAAGTAACTTTATGAGACTGGGGAGAAGAGAGACAGAGATGTAGAGAGGAGAGAGAAAGAGAGAGAGGCTAACACTGGTTTATAACACTCTGTATGTGTTTTAAGAGTGCACTCTCATTCCTGTTCAAATTTATGTTCCCATAGTGTACTTGCCACCAAAGTCCTAACATCCTCCCACCACAGGCCAGTGGTCTTTCTCCGGCTCTCTTGAACCTCAGTTCTCCATTGACCTCAAAATCCTTGACCAGACTACACATCACATTTATATTTCCATCTGTCTATCAGACTGGTACTTATTAAATGAAAATAAAATAAATATATGTAATAAGACGATTGTATTTTGTACAATTCGATAAGTCTGAAAGATGAAGGATAAAAAATAATGTGTTAGATTTTATTAAAAGTAGATTTTTGACCTGCATGTTAGCAGCCTCACATTTGTTTCTTGCATAGTTAATCTTAAGATATCTTAAAATTCTAATTAGGAAGTTTTCTTTCCTTTAACAGGAAATTGCGTGGCAGTCAGGTTGGCACATTATTTGTTTTCCTGAGAGTTCTTTAAACCAATCAGTACACAGATAATCTTATTATACCTCTGTGGGCTTGTGTTTCTTTTGATGAGAGCCTAGAGAAGTCATGGGTAATACTTTTCTCTGTGCCAGGAACTGCTTAGGTTTCAGTTGTGCAAGGTCAGATCTTAATTTAACCACCAACTGGGTGCTTAATTTTAGATACACAGAGAAACACATTGGCTCTAAGGTACTTCCTCTGGTTTAGGAAGGCAAAGCCCTAGATAAAAATGACAAGATGATCATTCCAAAAGGTGAGATTATGAAATATTTGATCTGCTCCTTACTGACTGGCTTATCTAGTAGTGTAGTATTGGGATATTTTCAACAGAATAAAATATGTAATGTGTTAGCTACTCTCTTTCTGGTTGATTACCTGTACATTAATCTCTCTAGGCCCTTTAATATTATAGAATAAAGCTGCGGTTGTTTCTTTTATTGATAGAACATTAACTCAGTTGCATGGATATTAAGCATAATAAAAAATAATATCATGAAGATGTTAATAATGAATATGCCTATAGGAAGTGTCAGTGTGTATAGTGTCGAATCCCAGAAGGATCTTAGTTGACTCTAGGTTTGAGAAAAAAATTAAATGAATAGCTAAAATTTCTATAAGTTATTTCATTACTTTCTGCAACAGATGAATGTTTTATGTTCAGATAAAAGAATGCCTTTAAATCAGATAGGCTGAAATAACACAACAGAATCAGATATTTACTCAGTTGTACTAAACTTAAGAAAGAAGTGGGGGGGGAAGTTTGGTATTTTGGATTAAGGTCTATAATGTATTATTTAAGAATAGCAAGTTGAAAATTCAATTAGGGCATGGACTCAAAGTCCTGTGTCTCTTCTAATTCTGCCTATACATAGCAGTGAATAATTTTTTTCAAATGAGTTCCTAATGGAAATTCTTATAAAAAAAGAACAACAACCTCTACAAACTGGTGGGTCAGTGCACAACTTTTGTCTTCTTGACTAATGGAGAAGAAAAATGTAATGGAGTGTATACATTTGTCTTTTAATAGGGTTGCTGACCATCTCTCGATTAAGATTTTGTTATCTATCCAATAAAGACATTTATAATAGATGATATTATTGAGAGACTTTTAAACTGGTTGATCAACTTTTCTTCAAGGTCAATCTGAAGGCCTTTCTGTTGTGCCAATTTGTATTCAAAAGGTATAACCATCAGTATATAGACGGTATATAATATAGAAAATATTAATTGAACCAAAATATATTATATTTTGAAGGATGTAAAATTCATTTGTTATTAGAAGACTAGAATCTGAACAAAATATCAGAACTACCACAAATAAAAATTTAATGTAGTTAAATAAAATTTCTGCACAAACTGTACAGTCACAATGTGGATTAAAATATGACTTGGCAAAAATTTGAGCAATAGTGATCTGAGCCAAGTGTATGTAACACAGCAGTCCCCAAATTCATCATTGTCTGGGCTAAATTAAACAGAACTCTTGGTCTAGGAAGAAGGAGGTAGTCAATCCACTTGATAAGGTATTGATCTGACTTCAACAATTGTGCTCCCATCAGAGCCCACGGTACAGGTCAATTTTAGTGATAAATGGATGCAGGAAGGCAATCAAGTTGGTGGATTTGAGGTGAAACAAATGAAAGATTCAGCCTTAGGGAGTAAAGACACCATGGAGATCAAGTAGCCTGCCTGGAAGGTAAAGGGTTTTCCTGGTGAGAAACATTTTCTCAGTGTGACTCTGAGGAATTAGAGAATGATGGTTTGAAGAGATTGATTCATCTTAAATGTTATTTTAATTATTAAAGGTTGCTAAAAGCTGTGTGAGGTAGGGGTGGGGCACATATAGTAAGAACCCTGTTGCTTCAGTGTTTGAGCTGAGGCTGGAAAATTACTTGTTGGGCATCTTGTCGAGTGGACTGCCTGATGATTCTTACCTCTGAAGTCTAAAGATTCAAGAGGGATGGATAGAGAAGATATAATGAAGTGCTCAGTATGCTACTTAAGGGTGAGGAACAGAACTACAACTACCAAACAAGTCTTAGAATTCTACTTCCCATTTCAGAGGAATTCCATTACAAAGTAATAGTGTATAATATTTACTACTTACTACATGTCAGGTACAGAAAATGAGGCTGCTAATCTGGTGGGCAGGATTTGAATGAAGTTTTAACTAGTGTACGGTCTCCAAAATGAAATAGGTGGTAGGTGACTAAGTAATGGGATGGCTTATTACTGTTTGAGTGAATTTAGAATGAAAATCACTGTATCACTGTCATCCTGTTGTTCATCGATTTACTCAAGTGGGTGCCAGTAACATCTCCATTCGTCCCAGGTCTGCGATTTTAGCAGCCTCTCCTTACTCATCTTTCCCAATGCTGCCATATTGGAGGCTCTTTCAGGGTCAGGGGAATGAGACATGTTATTGTTACTGTTTTTGGAATATTGAATATGCCAAGGGTAGCTTGCTTGCCAGGCTCTTCCGTGCAGGCAGGATACTCTCAGTAGCTTGCCGGGCTCTTCAAGATATATATATATATATATATATATATATATATATATATATATATACACATTTCCCTCTATGATTTGTTGCCTACTATCTGAACCCCATCAAATATGTTGTGATAATTATGGAAATTGGGAAGAAAGTGTCTTATGGCCTGATTTTATGGCTGCACAGTCCAGGAATATGTTTACTCCTATGTGAGGCTCGGCCCGAGCTTGTGGAAAGCAGCCTGGAGTGTGGCGGTAGTTGGGTAGTGGAGGTCAGTTGCTGGGGCTGGGTCCCTTGGGGTGAATGAAAATATATTTGAAAATATATTTGAACACCAGACAGACATTTTTGCCATGTCAACTTTAATATGCCATGCCCATGAAAAATATTTGCTGAGAGTATATATGTATGTGTATACATATACCTATATGTGCACTATACACACACACACACACACACACACGTATAGTATGTTTTAAGGTCTAGAATATTCATTTTATTTAGTATAGTAATTAATGTAGTCAGAACATTTTTACTCACCCTAGAATTCAATTGTATAAATCATATGTAGCATATTAAAGTTGATTTTATTAGGTACAACCAGTCTTAGCTTCCCTTCTAGTGGGGAGCTGCTACTTACATACTAATGGAAAATAAGCTTTTGGTCTCATGCCGGCAGATAATTAGGTAATAAAGTGTTTTATCATTTATAACTTATGTGATAAAGTTTGCTTGAATTAGTCAGGGATATGTATCCTTCTTTGAGAGATATGTTGGTCCCCAAACCTAGGAATTCTCCCTACCAGATTTCATCTACCTTATTCTAAATTTGGGTAATTTCCTCTTTTCGATGTCACCAAGGTCCAGGAAGTGATCTCACCATTTGCAAGGCCCAGTTCTTTGAACCATATTTAGACCAGTTTTCTGGAGTTTATAAATCTTGGCTCCATAAGTCAATCTTGGTTCCTTTAAAGAGCATCTGATTAAATAAACACTATATCCATAAACATTATTTTTCAAGGACACAAGTTGAAATGAGCAATGGTTTCCCATTTCTTGGTTATTTGAAAATATCAAATGCAAATTCCCTCTTATAGATTTTATGTTGTCTTTAATGTCTTAATAGTTTAAATGTGTCTGAGATGAATATTTTCATGTGCAAATGTTTGTACATATCTCTGATTATTGCTAGATGACAAATTCCTAGATGTTGATTTACCAAGGATATAGGATTTTAAAAATCATGTTAGCTTATTAACTATTTCTAAAGGCACATCAATTAATAAGCTAACTTTTTATGATCCATTCTTCCCCCAAACTTTCATATTTTAAATTATATTCCCCTAAAATTCACATATATGTAGACCCAAATTTCTGTGTCATTTTCAAAAGCATTACATATTCCTAATTTCTTTCATAACAGTATTTGACTTCGAAATCACTGATAGAATGTAAACCTTTCTAATTTTTTGTTATTAAACTAAGCAAAGATAGTTTGGCAGGTTTTATCTTTAGTTTATTTACATACAAATTAAATACTTAGCACAAATCCCAATCTGCACGTAAATTTAATCAAAGTATTTATACGACATAGAAAGGGAGTTCAAGGTAAATCTATTATTTGGATAATTTTAAGAGAATTGATCACTTGATTGCTTGATCACTTGACATCCCATTACTCATCAATTTGCTCAGGCTCCAGTAATGTCTCCATTCGTCCCTGTTGCCTGCTAGTGTAGCCAAATGGCGTCTGCTTGCTCCAGGAACACAAAGAGCCTCAAATCGATCATTCGGGGTCTTGATGAAGAAGTCTGACCATCTTGTAGGTGTGCGGTCACGCGATCTTTTGACATCCCGTGGAATCCAGTCAGTAATGGCTCTAGTTCAGTGATCATCTCCAAATCACATTACGTGCCCAGTCCATCTGATTTTCAACGGGTTGGCAAACGAGACAGCGTCCCTGATTCTCAATCATCAATGGAGGTCGGAACTCTGGATTCCTTCTCTCACTTAAGTGAAACGAGATACTCTAAGCATAGCTCTTTTGATTCCTCTTTCGGGAGACCCGAATAGCGTTCTCATCATGTTTTCGTAAGGCCCAGGTCTCTGAGGCATATGTTAATGCAGAAAGAATGGTGGAGTCGAAGAGATTTGTCTGGAGATGAAGGTTCTTCATCCCCTTAGCTATTTCTTTGACTCTGTTGAAGGCATTCCATGCCGCTTTCTTCCTCCTGCTCAACTCAGGCGCCAGGTCATTCGTCCTGTTGAGTTATCGAACTAGGTACACATAACTGCTGCAGTCGGAGATGTTCATTCCATTGAGAGAGAATGGAATGAGTCTGTTTCTCATGAACATTGATTGTCTTGGTGAGATTCAGCTGCAGTCTCACCTTTCCATACTCACAGCATTTGTGCCACTTGGCTAATGTTTGGTGTAATTAGAACGATATCATCAGCAAAGCGGAAGTGGTATAGTTTCCAACCATCTACCTTCACTCCCATTCCTTCCCATTCCAGTCATTGCATGACATTCTTGAGGGTGGCACTGAAGAGTTTCGGTGAAATGGTATCACCCTGCTGAACCTCTCTCTTGATGTCGATGATCACTTCCTTGTATATGGTGAGATCCTGGTCGTGAACATTAGACATAGTGGCATCTTGAACTCTCGAGAAACCTCAATGAGATTGGTCACCATGTGGATATGATCAATTGTGCTGAATCTTTTTCGGAACCCAGCTTGCTCACATGGTTGTCCTTC